CTGTCCAGGTACCCGGTGTTGTGTTTGACTCTGTTGTTGCAAGAGATCAGCGCGATCCTTGGAGTAAGGAAGTAGGGCCTGTTTGAGTCATGTAACGGGTGGTCCTTGGGGAAGGAGTCCCAGTATTGCCTGTCGCCTCCGAATATAGCATCAGGAATGTAGGGTGTAGGCTCTAGCAGAGGAATGGGGAGATTCCATTCTTGCTCTTCCTCTCAGACGTAGTCTCCGTTCTTGTCGTAAGGATTGTTGTAGTCCTAGGCCCTTACGGTCAGGGAGACGTCGCCTTGACTTGGTCGTAGCGGCGGTACACGAGGGCATCGATTCGCTCGCCGTGTGGGAGCTAGTGTTCTCATCCCCAGGAAGACCTGGCGATGGGTTGGTTGACCATGCGTGCATGGCTAAGTCGAACGCGGGACCGGTCGATGGTCCGAGTGGGATAGGCGACTGGTTTGACGTGGGTCATGTGGGGAAGGTTCGATAGGTCTCCTTTAATGGGAGTGCATCCAATGACTTCCACTTGAGTTAGGTGTGCAAGATGGTCTTGCGCTGCTTCCCGTTCAGTTGGCAGCACTATGTAGACTGTCCGAAGGTTTTGCAGTGTTTTCAAAAGTAACGGCGACTACGTGAGTCAAGGCGAGGCTCCTTTTGTCCCAAGTAGAGGGCTAGCCTTACATTGCGCGGAGCTCTCTCTTTGTAGAGATCCATGTCCTGCTGCTCTGCCAGCAGCATCGCATAAAGAGTCGCTTCAAAGATTTTGCCATATTGGCGTAGTAGAGCCTTACATGGTCGCCATTCAGGGGTAAGTCGAGCGAACACGATCGTCATGAACATGTCTATAGTGATCATGTTCACGAGTTTGATTATCTGGTCATGGATTCTTTGGCAACGGTTGATGTACGTGTTGGCCTTCTCTCAAAAGACCATTTTAACTTCCAGTAGCTGCCCAAGGAGTCAGCTCGTACAGGTTTGTTACGTACAGCAAAGAGTCTCGCGCCGGAACGGCGCGTCTTTTGAACAATAGATTCCGTCAAAGGACGCTGTACGCCATGAGGGATTCGTTGTAGTATCGTTGTTTTGCGTCTTCGGTGTCGATCGTTGATCTGGAGTAACATCCATCGAAGTAGCAGAAGATTTGTGCGCTCTGCAGGAGAAGCTCGAACTCGTAACTCCAAGTGTAGAAATCACGAACGTTGAAGACTGAGCTTGTCTTGACTTTCGAGACGGCGAAGAACTTCGATTGTGCTGTCAGCAGGGCTTCGTCACTTAATCGTGTGCTTGCATGTGGTTGTGTGTTGGAAGCGTCAAAGTTGATGAAGCCAGGAGTGGAGTCCTTGTCTGCACGAGGTTGGCCGCGTTTCGGTGGTTTGGCGAGCGGTGCTCGAGCCGTCGATCTTGAGAGATGGAAGTCCATCTTCAAGAGTTGTCATTCGTTAGAGCAATTTTTTGAGGAGTCCTGTCGGGACGGATGTCGTTGCCGTTGGATTCGGAGTGTTTGCAAGTGCTTCGGGAGGAGGGCTTCCTTACCCTCGTGATCCTAAGCCTAGGGCCATTCTGTGGCGGGAGCGAGTCACTGGCGCCACGATATTTGAATTTAAAACTGATCAACCGTGTTATGCGTATAATACATCAACTCCGTTTACCATGAAGTGATCCTATATAGTCCGTAGGATCTTCATGATTGAACTGCAGTAGTGCGCTTTGCGGAAACGATTGATCGGTTGATGAACTCTGTCATAGTGAATGTAACCTTACAGAATATATCATAGCCAAGAGATACAGGGCTCATATTGTGATACAAGAGAAAGCGACGGGTCTAACTAAGATTCGATCAGCAGGGGTACATTGGTTAAATTATATATTATATATCTATAATTGTAGGCTTGGTAGGTGTTACTGGATCCTAATGTAGAGGGTACAACCTAGTTCTTGTACCTCTCTCTCTTGCCTAGTGAAACCTCCTCTCTCTCGACATTTTTGCTACCACCTAAACCTCTCGCCATTCATGGCTTCTCTTCCTAGCTAGATTAGTTTTTGACATGGTTTCAGAGCAGGCGGTCCGCCCTACTGGGCCGCCTCCTCAGGCTTCCGCCGCGTACCCTCCCCCCTCTCGTTCTTCCACCGCGTACCCCCCCCCCCGCCACCCCCCCCCCCCGCCACACCCCCCCCCCCCCCCTCTCGTTACTTCCGCGCTGGCGTGGCGGCCGTGTCGTGCTGCCATGGCGGCTTTGTCATGCTGCCGTGGCAGCCTCAACATGGCAGCTTCGTCGTGTCGCCGTGCCGCCGTCGTCGCGTCAGCGCACGGGCGGCAGTGGGTCACGCACTGGTCCCAGCAGACCCAGCTCGCCGCGTCAGTCCCAGTTCGTAGCATCGGTCCCAGCTCGCCACACCAGCTAGCTCCGCCCCGCCGCAGCTCAAGGATGCCTAGCGCCTTCCTTCCCTGTAGTCACCTCTGCTGCAGGGTATGGGGGTGCTAGGCTTAGAGGTGTTGCATATGGGGTGGGCTTGTGACTACCAAGCCTAGGGGGCGTGTTAAATTATATATTATATATCTATAATTGTAGGCTTGGTAGGTGTTACTGGATGCTACCGTAGAGGGTACAACTCAGTTCTTGTCCCTCTCTCTCTTGCCTAGTGAAACCTCATCTCTTTCGACATTTTTGCTACCACCTAAACCTCTCGCCATGCATGGCGTCTCTTCCTAGCTAGATTAGTTTTTGACAATATTCCCTTCAGATTTCATATCCGGCTCGGGTAACCGTACACAACTCAGGTAACTGCCCATGTTGTATTACAGGGCCAGTTATGTATCGTTGCTGTCGCAATGAACCCTTGAACTTCTGTCTGTTCAGTTGTCAGTTAACGGTCAACGACTGTTGCACTTGTGGTTCGTCATAAGGCCGAACTCGACAAGGGGGGTTACTGCTCGAGTGTCACTTTCAGGAATGTAAGCATTTCCTTATCATAACATATGCAACTGCTGGGATGTGAGGACAACCCAATCGTTGTTGGTAGAGTTGGTGTTCTTCGACAATACGCCTTGTAGATGCCCTTCAGGGATCCGACGAAAAGGGTGTTGTAATGTATATACGAGTGATGCCAAATTTCTTTGTGGGAGTTTCAGCGTACTTGGTGGTCAGGAGAAAAAATATTTCGGGGTAAAATAAGGAAGGCATCGAATGCTTAGCATGGAGGACATTTTTTTAGTGATTGTGAATGGAGTAAGATATACTGTATTAGCATCGTAAGCACTTTATTATAGTTGCTCTTTCGTCTATTTTGTTTCCTGTTTCCAGTTACGACAATCTGAACGGCACCTCGCGTGACACTCATACTGGTGTACTTACTGTACTGTACTCATCCCTCCGTCGTTATGATGTCAAATCCAATCAGTCATCTCGTGAGGCATTCACGTGGATTCGACTGCTGGATCCATCGTCTGATGCAAGCTTGCTGTAGCCGCCAGGTAGGCAAGCAGGTGACCTTAATCTGCTGGATGACGTAAACAACGGACAGCTTCATGTTTGGTCTTTGGAAGCATCATCATCAGTTGGCCCTGAAAAAGAGCCAGCCGCACGACAGAACCGAACCCACACAGCTGTGGGGCATGATTTCTACCCACGTGAAATTCGCCGACCGAGGGCTTGCACGCTGCATTGTGGACATCGTGCACGTCGATTTCACTCCGTGAAATGATGGCTCATTGAACGAGAATTCCATCCATACGTAATGTACACCCTTTCTTCTCTATGGTTTCGCCTCGAACAGTCCAAATTGCAATTTCACCTACCAGGTCTCAGCATGACTCGCGTTGACACTGAACCTGATTGGCTGCAGTCTGAACGAGAACGAACTACCAAGTTGTATTTCGACAATTGTGAGTTTCAGAGCTGGAAAGTCGCGCAGGCAACCAATCTGTTGCATGAGCGAGGTTTTGTAACCAAGTGTCATTGCTTACTGTGGGATTTTCCCTTCAAAGTCATGTTTGCCCGTGTTTTACAATTTCCTGCTTACAGGCTCGAAACGTGTGCGAAAATCGAGGAACTAAATATGAGAACAGGTGTACATATGGAGCAGGAGGGATTGACAACAGGCATTGCCCCTTGCTGCTGTGAAGAGCCCAAAGCCAAACCTGGACCATGTGATTTCGTGTTTTTGGTGAGGGACCAGAACAGCTTTCTACATTAACTTGCACGGTGAAGAGATTTACGCTTCGGTTCTTTGGCATCAAATCGACAGATGTCAGGCTCTTGTGCCCGAATTTGAAAAATTGGAAACCCTGGTCAGGAGTCACCCAGCCAAGTCAGGTAGCGTGTCGCGACGCGGCTGACAAGCAGGTCTCCTTTCAGGTGGATTTAGGGCATCTGTGGCCCCATTTCATGCAATCTGGTTGAGTCTGCTGCTGCTTGGTTGTCATTCGATCTCCCCCGTCAGTTTCAGCTGTCACATGGGCAAACGTGTGCTGGTGATGATGACATCTTGCCCAAAATCAGCTACAGTCGACTACTGTAGGCTGCCTGTCTGCTGGGGGATGATGCCGCAGCTGCATCGTAGTGCAAGTGGGAAGACTAGATACGTACGGTTAAGTTGTGTAAGAAAGGTTAAAGCTCGGTTAGAATAGGTGATTGTTAAAGTCCGATCGAGGGGGGGATCGGGGCGGATGTTGCAGGGGGGGGGGATGCTGCAGTAGGGGGAGATTTGGAGATTCGCGAGAATTACGCGCTTGCACGAAATTTCTTTCCGCCACCTCTCACCCACCCAGCCAACCACCCACCCAATCTCCTATTGATCCCACGATTGCAACCCCTCATGCCCGTTTCGGTTTCTCGTTGCACAAACCCAACCGAGCACAAACAAACTGTCTCCTACCCAGACCGATCGAAACCGAACTCAACGCTGAAGTCTGGCCAAATGGTCCCAAAGCACCACCATCGCACCCACTTTCCAAAACCGACTTGGTTCGTCGCCTATATAAAGGAGGCCCACTCTCACACGTCATTTAACCCAACAGTTCCTAACATCCTTTATTCGTCCAGTCCCTCAGCTTAGCTAGCAGCAACCCCTCACTCCACTGACATTCCCGAATTAAGCTCAAACACATTCCCCATGGAGCCGTCTACGAGTGACGTTCAGGCCCCGCGCTCACACACCCTCCGCGCGCACAGCAAGCGGAAAGCCGAGTCGACCGACGCATCCGCAACCGAGGGCCCGTCGGCGAAGCACTCCTGCCCGAGCCGCTTCTCGACAACCTTTAACGTCTTCGACATCCCCACAGGGCCCCTTCTCGACCACTTTACGCTAGAACCCACCGTCCTGGGCGCCGGCCAATACGGCACCGTCCGTCAGTGCGCCGATAAGTTAACCGGCCAGCGTTTTGCTTGCAAGACGATCCAGAAGAGCCGTTTGGTAACGGAGGCGGCTCGGGCGGAGGTCCGACGCGAGGTCGCTCTCATGTCCCGCGTCGCGGGCCACCCAGGCGTGGTGGGCCTGCGAGCCGTTTTCGAAGACGACAAAGAGGTGCATCTAGTGATGGATCTGTGCGAGGGCGGCGAGCTATTCGACGAAGTCGTGCGGTTCGGGCGACTATCGGAACGTGACGCGGCGCTGATCTTCCGGCAACTGGCCTCCGGTGTCGCGTTCTGCCACTCGCGCGGCGTGCTGCATCGCGATCTTAAACCCGAGAACATCCTCCTCCACAGATCAGCCCCTTCCGGCGCCGTCCCCGCATCTCCCGCCGCAACTTCCGCTCTCGCCGCCCCCGAGTCCCTGGAATCCCGCGGTCTGACCGCCAAGCTCGCAGATTTCGGCCTTTCGATCGCGTTAGACAACGGGCGCGTGGGTTACGGTACAGCGGGGTCGCCCTTTTACATGGCTCCCGAGGTGCTCACTGGCGAGTACGAATACGCCGCGGACGTGTGGTCACTAGGCGTGATCCTCTACATTATGCTCTGCGGCCGCCCGCCGTTCTGGGGGAAAACCGACGCGGCGGTGTACGACGCGATCCTGCGCGGGAAATTGGACTTTTCGGGGGCCGCGTGGACGGGAGTGTCGGTTGAAGCGCGCAGCCTGATTCGCTGCATGCTCCAAAGCGATCCGAGGCGGCGGCCGACGGCGGTGAAGGTGCTGAGCCACCCGTGGGTGCTGCTGCACCTGTACGGTATCCGCGCTGTAAGGACCTCCGCTGCTGGTGGAGAGGACTCCCTGGAAGCGAGCGCGGGTGTTGCGCCTGCTGTCGCGGTCACTGGAGCGGCGGCTGCTGCTGTTGCTGCTGTTTCGTCCCAGCGCGCCGCTGTGTGCTAACAATGCCACGAGTTTACGATTAGAAACGGAGTCCGCCCCCCGTCGTGGCGCCTCCGAATATGCGTTCTTGCGAGGCGCAAATAACTACTACCGCCCCTGATAGCAAGGGGTTAAATTTGGTTTGACCTGCATTGTTTCTAAAGATGCCTGTACAAAGATTCCTCCATATTCTCAATGGATGATAAATTTCTGGACTAATGTTTGCGTTTCATTTCACCTTGGGTTCTATGCACGTAAAAGTGTACCACTCGCTCACTATTCAAGGGCCAACTATCCTCGTTATCAGTCCCTTCCATCCAACTGCTACCCCCACCCAACCCAATCCTTATCTTTTCTCACACACGTCCCTTCGACACGAGTACTCCGCGCTACGGAAACGAGTCCTCCTCACCTCAGATCAATCCCGTCTAACCTCTTGGCAGGCGGTACAGTCGATCAGTGCGCTAGTCAATCGACGAGCGGGCGAGCAACCAACGTCTCAGCACAGTCGCAGCAAGTCCACGTCGCCAGCATCTATCCCGCTAGTGTCTTTTCCGCCACTGGCTTCCGCCACTGGCTTCCGCCACCGCCTTCCGCCATCGCCTTCCGCCACTCAGCCCGATTCGTTTGTTCCCCCAATCGCGTCAACGTCTGTCGAACCTGCTCCCGCACCGGCGCCCCGCCGCCGGCGGAGCCGAACCGCAGGATGCGCGTCGCCAACCCTAACGCGCAGGCGGGCTCGACTGTTGAACTCGATCGCGCCGGAAGAGACCGGAGTGGCGGAACAAACCCAAGCGGCGGAGCGGACCGGAGCGGCGGAAGCGCTGCTTGCGGTGCAAGGGGGGACGCGGGGGATGTGCGCGGAGGTGGCGGAGATGGCGGAAGCGCGGATCAAACGAACGGGGGAAACGGGGAGGGGAAGGATGGCAGAAGGGCGGAGCGGAATGAAGGGGGAGGCGCCACACCAGCTGATCCCCCACATCGTGTTCGGTTCATGCAGCTGCAGAAGTTTCTGAGAAGCTGTGACGAGTCTGACTACAGCGCTCTCACTGCTTGTACGTGCCCATGCGAGTCTACTGCTTGCACTGCTCTCACTGCTCTCACTGCTCTCACTGCTCTCATTGCTCTCACTGCTCTCACTGCTCTCACTGCTCTCACTGCTCTCACTGCTCTCACTGCTCTCACTGCTCTCACTGCTCTCATTGCGTCTAGAGCGCAAGTGACTGTCCTGCCTTGCCTGCGAGTCGCTTGCGCATGTGAGTGCTTTGCCGTTCCGTGCCCGTGCGCCATGCCTGAGCAAGTGAGGCAAGTGAGCAAGATCGCGTTCCCGAAGTTTGGACAACATCAAAGTTTGGACACCACGTCAGCTCCTGATGACGTGTCATGATGTGGCAGCACGTGCTCAGACAAGAGGGACCGACCAACCGGCCACGGTCCTTGCGAGAGGGGCCCACAACGTGCTGCGACATAGGGCGAGCCTTGTAGACCTCAAGGTTGGGAGCGCGTACTTCTTGCACCTGCCCATGAGATCTTTCGTGTCCCCAATCACGGTACATGTCGGTCCCCGGAACATAAAATTTGCCCAAGTGGCGCGAAACACGCTGGGGTTTGGCGTGGCAGGGTGGGGCTCGTTGCATCGCGGGCTGTTCTGACCTTTTCCAACCAGGACCTTGAACATTTCCGACTTGACTCAAAGCAATGTCGTTGCCATTTTACTGGCTGCGGAAAACGCTCGACCTCCGGCCATCAATTCGTCTGTTTCATGCAACGTCACGTCAGCATGTCGGTGTGGCGAAACCACCATTGGTGACGTCAGACACCAAGCACTTTTTGCTATTGTCCTGTCCAAACTTCGCAGGAACGCCATCCAAGTGAGTGTTCTGCCTTTCCTAGGAGTCAAACCCTCCAGTTGCCCTTCTGTTCAGTCGCCACCCCTTATGACATCACCCCGTGTCAGCATGGGACCGCAGTGCACACACACCATCGCACAATTCCTATTCCTCTCCTTCCTTCCCCATTCCCCTCCCCTCCCCCCTTCCCCATTCCCCTCCCCTTCCCACATCTCCCTCCCCCATCCTTCCATCTCTTCTGTCCATGTCAGCACGGGATCGCAACAATGCACCACTATATACCCCCCCCCCCCCCCCCCCCCCCCCCCTCTTCCTCCCACCCCCACCCACCTTCCCCCCCCTTTCCGTCGTTTCTTATTTTTCTCCCCCCTCACAACCCCCCCACACATATATCCCGTGCGTCCAGCGCGTCTGTCCATGTCAGCGTGGGACTGCAGCCAGTTCGCCACCCTCACAACCCCCTCCCTTCCCCTTCCCCTTCGCTCCCACGCACGCATTTGCGGCCCCTGCCCATGCAGCTCTCCTTGCCATGTCAGCATGGGACCGCAGCCAGTTCGCCGCCCACACGGAGAAGAGAGCGCTGCAGTTGGGGGTGGAGGAAGGTGGGGGGAGAGAGAGAGAGAGAGAGAGAGAGAGAGAGAGAGAGAGAGAGAGAGAGAGAGAGAGAGAGAGAGAGAGAGAGAGAGATAGAGAGAGAGAGAGAGAGAGAGAGAGAGAGAGAGAGAGAGAGAGAGAGAGAGAGAGAGAGAGTGGGAGAGGGCAGGGGGCAGGGGTTGGGACATGAAGGAAGGCGAGGGGGTGCAAGAGGGGTGGTAGGGGTGCATGGGGGAGAGAGTGGAAGCTGAGCAGTTTGCTGCCCACAGGGGGAAGAGAGGGCTGCAGTTGGGGTGGAGGAAGGTGGGGAGCGAGAGAGGGAGAGGGAAAGTGAGAGTGGGAGTGCGAGTGCGAAATGGGGAAGGGGGAAATGGGAATGGGGGCAAAGGGCAAAGGCGGCAGGGTGTAAGGGGTGGGGCATGAAGGAAGGTGAGAGAGGGGGGAAGGGGCCTTGTAGCCGGGGATGTGCGGAAGGTGAGATCCCCCTTCAAGTGGGTGGGTGACTCTTGAGCTGGCTCAAGAGTGGGGCGAAGGGAGCCTTGTGGCTGGTAGAGGAGTAAGGCTAGAGAGCCCCCTAATTAGGGGCTGGAGGTAGGTGAGGAGAGGAAGAGGTGATTTTGCAGGGTGTTTTTGAGAATTCTCAAAAACACCCTAATATGAGGAAGAGATGCGCGATGGTATGGGGAAGGGCGACAAGGCTTTGATGGTAGGGAGACAGAGAAAGCGAAGCGGAAGGGAGATGGGTCGGGGGCAGGAGTTGGGGGAAGCTTGAGGGGGATAAAAGTGGAGCGAGTTGCCTGGTATCTTTTGAGTCGACTCAAAAGTCGACTCAAGTTCTCATGGTATTGACCCAAGTTCTCCCTCACTCTCTCTCTCCTCCCCCCTCCCCCCCCCCCCCCCTCCCGCTCTCCTGCCTGGTCGCCTGCCCGTTCGCCTGCCCGGCACCAGCTCTTGAAATGAAGCGAGTGAAGCGGCTCAACGTGCTTGGGATGCGACGCCAGGCAACCAGCCACCAAGGCACACAGGGTCCAAGCATACAAGCACAACCCCTAGAGTCACACCCACTACCACCACACGGGCACTCACAAGCGCTAGAGTCACACCAGCTTGTGTCACATTCTCAAGCACAGGTGCAGCCGCCTCAGGGGAAGCAGTCGCAGTTACAGTGACAGCCAGAGTCACATGGAAATTAACTATCACAACCTGTACAGTCACAGTCAGCAATATTAAAAGGCTAGCTTAGCTAGGAAGCTAGAAAATGCATGAGGTTTAGCTAGGAGCCATGGAGTGGTATGAGGTTTAGGAAGGAGAAAAGTTGAGGAGAAAAAAAGGGTTGGAATAGAAAAAGAGAGGCATACAAGGAGGGGATTGTACCCTCTACAATTCGGTAACCTACCAAGGCTAACAATTGAATAACTCAATATATAAGTTTAACATACCCCTTAGCTTGGTAGTCACAAGTTCACACACACCCCTACACCACCTAACCTAGCACCTCCATTCCCATCAGCCACAACGACTCCAACAGGGCCCACAAGGCCTTGGAGATGGCGACGGCGGCAGTCCCGGCCGCGGCGACAGTGACGGCGACGACGGGCGTGCGGCGGCAAAAGGCCTGCGGCGACGACAGCGGCGACGGCGACGGCTTCGGCTTACGACGACGGTGAGTGCAGCGGCCCCCGCCCTTCCGACGGCGTGTCCAAACTCCGCGACAGGGGGACGACCGGCGAGAGTCAGGCGGCGGCTGTGGCGAAGAGGAGGGGACAGAGGAAAGGGGGAAGGGCGGGGCTTCGGTGTCAACTTATACATATTATCTATGTAGAAGTTATAGGCTAGACTGAGGTATGCTTCTAGTGAGTACAACCAACTAGTATTTGTTCTAGGTTTCCACCTCTAGTAATCATTCGTTTCTACGTTAACATGGTATCACGCTTAGGTTAGGATCCCCCCGCCTACCGCTTCCGCCCGTCGCGCCTCCTAGGCCCCGTCGCGCCCCCTAGGCCCCGTCGCGCCCCCCCTGGGCCCCGTCGCGCTCGTTAGGCCCCGTCGCGCCCCCCCTGGGCCCCGTCGTGCCCGCTGGGCCCCGTCGCGCCTCCTAGGCCCCGTCGCGCTCCCCCTGGGCCCCGTCGCGCCTGGTGGGCCCCGTCGCGACCCCTAGGCCCTAACGCGCCCCCGCTGGGCCCCGTTGCGCCTCCTAGGCCCCGTCGCGCCCCCCATGGGCCCCGTCGAGCCCGCTGAGCCCCGTCGTGCCTCCTAGGCATCGTCGCGCCTCCTAAGCCCCGTCGCGTCCCCCCCCCTCTGGGCCCCGTCGCGCCCGTTCGGCCCCGTCGCGCCCCTCCTAGGCCCTGTCGTGCCCGCTGGGCCCCGTCGCGCCTCCTAGGCCCCGTCGCGCCCCCTCTGGGCACCGTCGCGCCCGCTGGGCCCCTTCGCGCTTCCTAGGCCCCGTCGCGCCTGCTAGGACCCGTCGCGCCCCCCCTGGGCCCCGTCGCGCCCGTTAGGCCCCGTCGCGGCCCCCCTGGGCCCCGTCGTGCCCGCTGGTCCCCGTCGCGCCTCCTCGGCCCCGTCGCGCCCCCCCTGGGCCCCGTCGTGCCCGCTGGGCCCCGTCGCGCCCCTTAGGCCTCGTCGCGCCCGCTGGCCCCTGTCGCGCCTGCTGTTAGCGCTCGCCTGCCTGGCCTCCTAGTGCCGCTCGGCCTCCTCCTAGTGCCGCCCGGCCCCTTCCTAGCGCCGCCCGGCCTCTCCTCAGCGCTGCCCGGCCCCTCCTCGTGCCCGACCGGCCCCAGCAGCACCAGCCTGGCCCCTCCCAGCACCAGCCCGGCCCCAGAGCACCTGCCCGCCTCCCCTGCTCGGCCTGCCGTGTCCTCTCGGGCCCTGTGTCTTCTGCTCGCCTGCGCTGGGACGCCTAGCTGCTGCCCTACTGGAGAGTGCTGCCGCCGTGTCCCCGCGCCGCTGTGCTCCTGTGCCGCTGAGGAGCTGTGCTGCTGTGCCGCTGTGTCGCTGAGGAGCTGTGCCGCTGACCCTGCACGATGGCTGACTTTGTGCTCCGCCTGGACGCTGAGGGCCACGCGGTTGACTTCGCCGCCTGGCTCTCCGATCTCCGCCGCCAGCTTACAGGTCAGCGCCAGGATGGCCACTCTCTGGTTGTCCATGCTGATGGCTTGCTCCCCCGTCCCCCTGCACCTACTCCCCTCCCTGCTGACCCCTCCTCTGATGACCGTGAGGCTTTCTCTACTGCTGCGCTGGCCTGTGCGGTCTGGGACTCACGCGATGCAGTAGCTCAGGTTGCTATTAGTCACGCCCTCCCTGTGTCTGAGCGCTCGCGTTTTGCTACTGTTGAAACGGCCAAAGCTTATTTAGACGCCGTTATTGCTCGCTATTCCACCCCTGCCTCCGCTTCTGCTGGCCGCTTGCTCTTTCCGATGCTGTTCCCAGACCTGGCTGCCTTCCCTACTGTCGCAGACTTTGCCACTCATTTGCGTGCCCTAGAGACTCGCTATCGCACTGCCAGCACTGCTGCCCAGCTCACTGCGCTCCCCCCTCCTTTCTGCATGACGCTCTATTTTATCGCTATGCGCCTGCCAGACCGCCTCGCTAGTGCTCGCGACCACTTTCTTAGCCAGCACCCGGGTGACCTCACCCTGACCGCCTTTGTCGACACCCTCACTGAGATCGAGACTCGCCAGCGCACTATCGCTCAGTCGAGCGGTGCGCCGGCAGTCTCTATCTTTCACGGCTGTGCCCCATCCCAGTGCACGTTCACTGACGTTTCGGCTGCGGTCGCCACGGCGACCCATCTTACCGAGACGGCTGCTGCTGTCCACCCGCAGCAGCGCTCGCGTCGCGGTGGCCGTGGCCGCCAGGGAGGTAGGGGTGGTGACGCAGGTGGTAGTGGTCGTGGTGGTGGTGACGGTAGTCCGCCTGAGGGGACTACCACCGGTGGGCAGGAGCAGCAGCCCCAGCAGCAGCAGGACCAGCCCCAGCCGCAGCCGCCGTCCCAGCAGCACCCGCCGCAGCCGTGGGCTCGTCTCCCGCCTGGTTGGCCCGGCACCTCCGGAGGCGGTGGCCGTGGTGGCGGCCCGCGCAGCTTGGCGTCTACCAGCGGCTCCAGTGCTGTGACCTGCCAGTACCAGCTTCAGACCGGGCCTCTCCGCGGCACTCTGTGCCGCCGCCCGCACCCGACCGCCCGCTGTTTCCGCCGCCTCGACGATCTTTTTCGTCGTCGCTTTGGCCCGGCCCCGGACCTCCCTGACTGGCACAGCCTACTCCGCCAGGGCGTGCCGATCTTTGAGTTAGACATGGATCAGATAGGTGCTGCTTTGCATGCTTTGTATGCTGACGCTTCTAGTGTTGCTGGATCTTACTACCCTGTGTACTCTAGTTTAGGTGTTTCACCCTTGTGTAGCGTAGCTTCCCCTGCTGCGACAGGCGTAGGACTGCCTAGGTTGCCTAGTCTAGTCGCTGCACCGGCTCCGTCCCCGGCCTCCGCCACTGCGTCGCTGTCCTTCACTCTCGACTCTGGTGCTTCTGCCTGCTTCTTCCGCGACCGTTCCACGCTCACGCCGCTTGCTGCACCTGCTGTTGTCTCTCTCGCTGACCCCTCTGCGGGTCCGGTCGTCGCGCGCAGTTCTACGTCCCTTCCTTGTCCGGCAGTTCCCTCGGGCTCCCTTACTGGCCTCCACGTTCCCTCGTTCTCGAGGAACCTGGTTGGTGTCGGGTGTCTCTAGGACCTCGGCGTCACCACCACGTTCCCCGGGCACGAGCGGTTCGCTGTCTGTTCTGAGGCTGTCTCAGGTTCCCCCCTTGCGACGTTCCCCCGGGACCCGGTGTCCGGTCTGTTTACCCTACACACCGCTTCCCCCCCGGTTGGTGCGTCCTCCCAGGTCGCTGCAGCTTGCTCGTGTCGGTCCCTCACTCACCCCTCCCTTCTCTGGCACCACCGCTTAGGTCACCCTGCTCTCCCGCGTCTGCGTCACATGTCCCAGCACGGTCTTGTCTTAGGTCTCCCCGCGTCGCTCCCTGCCCTTCCTCCCTCGACTGCGCCACCGTGCACGCCTTGCGTCGAGGGTCGGCTCCGCCGTGCTCCTCACTCCTCCTCGCTGCGTCCTGCTACTGCCCCCCTTCAGACCCTGCACTTGGACGTTTGGGGCCCTGCCCCCGTCCCCGGACCGCGCGGTGAGCGCTACTTCCTTGTGCTCGTCGACGACTACACGCGCTACACCACGGTGTTTCCCCTGGAGCGGAAGGCCGACGTGCCCGACGTTCTTCTCCCGTGGGTTGTGGCTGCGCGTCTCCACCGCGGTCTCCCCGTGTTGTGTCTCCACTCCGACCGTGGCGGCGAGTTCGCCTCTGGTCGGCTTGGACAGTTCTGTCGTGCGGAGGGCATCACCCAGTCGTACACGTTGCCGGACTCGCCACAGCAGAATGGGGTTGCTGAGCGCCGCATCGGCTTGGTCATGGAGGTCGCCCGTACCTCCATGATCCATGCCGATGCCCCCCATTTTCTGTGGCCGTTCGCTGTTCGCTACGCGGCTCACCAGCTTAACCTGTGGCCACGCTCCCAGCGGCCGCAGGTTTCGCCGACCCTCCTTTGGACCGGGTCCCCCGGTGACGCGTCTGCGTTCCACGTCTGGGGCTGCCTTGCTCACGTTCGTGCCTCTGGCACGGACAAGCTCACTGCCCGCACTGTCCCCTGTGTCTTCCTCGGTTTCCCCCTGGACTCGTCTGACTGGCTTTTCTACCACCCGCCGTCTCACCGCTTCCTCCACTCTCGTGACGTCACCTTTGACGAGTCCGTCTCCTTCTACCGCCGCTTCCCTCACCGAGGTCTCCCAGTTGCCCCCCCCCTTTTCCTTGCTCCCTCTCCCCCGGTAGCCCCTGCCCCTCTCCCGCCTCGTCCTGCCCCGTCTGGTGTCTCCCACGTCACTCCCCTACCGTCGGTTGTCCCCGTTGAGGAGTCTGCTGACTCTGGTGGTACCCCCGGTCCGTCCTTGCAGCGTCCCCCTTCCCCGGTGCCTCCGCCCCCACTGTCGCAGTCGCCGACCCCGCTGCCGCCGCCGTCGCCGTCGCCGCCGCAGCCGTCGCCGCTGTCGTCGCCGCCGCCGCCGCTGTCGCTGCCGCCGCTGTCGCCGCCGCCGCAGCAGTTGCCGCCACTGCCGCCGCTGCTCTCGGCCCCTGGGGGTGCTGGTGTGGAGGAGGGTGTTCGTCCTGCGGCTTCTGGGGGTGCCGCTGGTGTTGGAGGGGGTTCTCGCTCTGGGGGTGCTGGTTCTGGGGGTGCTGCTGTTGAGTGTTCTGCCGACGGTCGTTCTGCCTCTGCTGGTCCGAGAGTTCCGGCCCAGCCGTCGTCGCCGCCGCAGCAGCCGTCGCCGCCGGTTTCCGCTCTCCGCGTGCTCGGCCTTCCCTCCCCGGACCGCGCGCCGGTGTCTCCCCCACCGCCTCCTGACCTTCCTGTCTACGGTCCTGTGTTCCCGCCGCCAGACTCGTCTCCGGCCCGTCTTCCTCCTCGTTCCCCTCCTGTGTCTCCTCCGCTGTCCCCTGACCCTACCCCTCCGTCTCACGTTTGGGCTCGCCGTCCCTCCCGTGCTCGTCCCGTCTCTCCTGTCCTGCCCACCCACCCTATGTTGCTCCGTTCCCACTCGTCTCGTCCTCCCCTCCTCCCGTCCCCTCCTCCCTCGTCCCTTGCTGTTGCACCTCCTCCGTTCTCTGACTACCTCCGTGCTGCTCGTCCCCTTGTCCCTCGGGTCCTTGCCTCTCTTGTTACCGACCCTGCTGTTCCTGTCTCGCGCCTTGACGCGCTTGTCGCTGCTGTCGCTGACTTCGCCTCTACCCGCCGCCTTGACTACGCTACCGCTCTGGTCTCTGACCCTGCCCGTCCTCTGTCCGTCGGGGGTGCTCCTGCCCTTGGCAGTGACGTCCTAGAGGACAGGCAGTACGAGCTGGCTTTCCTTTCCGAGGCTGCTCCCCATCTCTGCTCCATGCTGTTAGTCCCTGAGGGTGACCCAGACGCCTTCGACATCCCGACCCCTCGCACCTACGCTGAGGCCACCTCGGGACCTTGGGCCTCTCAGTGGATAGCTGCCATGGAGCAGGAGATGGCATCTTGGAGATCCACCGGCACTTACGTCGACGCAGTTCCCCCGCCTGGGGTGAACGTAGTCGATGGTCGGTGGCTCTTCAAGGTGAAGCGCCCCCCTGGAGAGCCGCCTGTCTTCAAGGCGCGCTACGTGGCCAGAGGTTTCAGTCAGCGCGAGGGGGTTGACTTCTTCCAGACCTTCGCCCCGACCCCGAAGATGACCACTCTTCGGGCGCTGCTACACGTAGCAGCACAGCGTGACTACGAGCTTCACTCCCTCGACTTCTCTACTGCCTTTCTTCAGGGCAGCCTACACGAGCAGGTCTACCTGCGCCGACCACAGGGCTTCACTGGTACCTTCCCTCCTGGGACCCAGTGGCTTCTCAGGCGCCCGGTCTACGGCCTGCGTCAGGCTCCCCGCGAGTGGCACGACACGCTACGTGCCACGTTAGCAGACCTGCAGTTCTTTCCGTCCTCTGCTGACCCTTCACTGTTTGTGCGTTCCGGCCAGACTCCGTTCTACATCCTTGTCTACGTAGACGACCTGGTCTTCGCTACTCCTGACAGGGACGCACTGGCCTCTGTGAAGGCTGAGCTGCTGAAGAGACACACCTGCACTGACCTTGGAGAGCTGCGTCGCTATCTTGGCCTGCAGATCTCTAGGGACAGAGCAGCACGCACCATCACTCTGACCCAGTCACACTTGGTGCGTCAGGTCCTTCAGAGGTTCGGTCTTCAGTTCTCCTCTGCACAGCCCACACCTCTACCCGTAGACCATGGGCTCTCTGCTCCCGTTCCTGAGGAGCCAGTAGAGCCCAGTGGCCCCTACGCAGAGCTGGTGGGTTGCCTCATGTACCTGATGACTTGCACTCGCCCAGATCTCGCATACCCTCTCAGCATCCTGGCTCGCTTTGTGGCTCCAGGCAGACACCGACCTCAGCACTGGTCTGCCGCTAAGAGGGTTTTGCGTTATCTTGCTAGTACATCAGGCATGGGGTTAGTGCTAGGAGGACGCAGGCCAGTGGTCCTTACTGGGCACACAGACGCTTCTTGGGCAGACGACGCTGAGACGCTCAGGTCGTCGCAGGGCTACTGTTTCAGCCTTGGTTCGGGTGCTATCTCTTGGAGATCCACTCGCTCGTCGTCTGTGGCTCAGTCTAGCTGTGAGGCTGAGATCTACGCTGGTGCCATGGCGGCACAGGAGCTCCGCTGGCTGACCTTCTTGCTCACAGACTTAGGTGAGCGGCCTAGCTCTGCCCCGGTCCTGTACGCTGACAACAGGGCCATGATACTCCTGTGTCAGGAGCCTCGGCTTGAGGGCAGAGCGAAGCATATCCAGCTGCGGTACTTCCTCCTGCGCGAGCTACAGCAGCGCCGCCAGGCCCGCGTAGTTCACTTGGCCTCAGGTGCCAACACAGCTGATATCTTTACTAAGGCGCTTGCGCCTAAAGATCATCAGCGGCACTGTGTACAGCTTGGTCTTGTTCCTGTAGCTGCTCCCCTGTTAGGATCCTGATTGTGTACTCTCTATTATATATGCTTGTCAGACTGGCCTTGTGGCCTTACCTCCAGTGGCTGGACTAGTAGTGCCACCCTGGCTTGCTTCAGTTTTGGTTGTATTCTTGCTGACTGGTCTCCAGACCCCTGCCTCAGTGGTTGGACTAGTAGTGCCGCCCTGAGCTGTTTGCTTCTTGTTTAGTTTCACCCCTTGTCTAGCCTAGGGGGTGTGTCAACTTATACATATTATCTATGTAGAAGTTATAGGCTAGACTGAGGTATGCTTCTAGTGAGTACAACCAACTAGTATTTGTTCTAGGTTTCCACCTCTAGTAATCATTCGTTTCTACGTTAACATTCGGATCTTCAACGTGGCGCCACAGGCGTCGCGCGGCCGGTTGCAGCTCGACGCCGCCGTCACAGAGCGGCGTCGACGCTACGACGGCAGCACGGCGGCCTGACGCCACGGCAGCGTCGAGACGGCAGCGGCACGACGCGGCCAGCGGCATCACGACGCCGCCACTGCAGCACAACGCGGTTGCATGGCCGCGCGAGCGAACGAGGGCAAGGAGTACGCGGCGGAAGCGTGAGGAGGCGGTCCAGCACGGAGGAACTCCTGCTCTGATACCATATTAAAATGCTAGCTTAACTAGGAAGCTAGGAAAGGCATGAGGTTTAGCTAAGAGGAGCCATGGAGTGGCGTGAGGTTTAGGAAGGAGAAAAGTTGAGGAGAGAAAAGGGGTTGGAATAGAAAGAGAGAGGCATACAAGGAGGGGATTGTACCCTCTACAATTAAGTTCGGTAACCTACCAAGCCTAACAATTATATAACTCAATATATAATTTTAACAAGCAATGCTTCACCAGTCCCGACTCCCGACCACTCTCCAGCACCAGACCACCTGTAATTGAGAGCCCTACCGTCACAGCAGTCAGGGCAGCTGCAAATGTAGAAAGTTAAGCAACTAACCATTGAATCTTCATGAACCACAAGTATGAAATGTTTTTCTTTGTGGAAGGTTTGCTTGCCACGCAGCAGATGTGGTATGCGTCGGCTTTTGATGCGGCTCAATATATTCCAGCTAGTAATTCATGAGCAGTTTGCTACAAACGTGTGTAACAAGAAGTTCTCGTGATGAATATCGCGTAGCGAATTATTGTGTGTACTGAATTTAAGCATTACATCCTGATATAGATGTAGACAAATGTGGTTCATTTCAGTCTGAGGCGACCGTCATCTGAGTCCCCTGTTAGCGAGTATTCTCCGTTTGGACGGAGATAGTGCCAAACAGGTGCTATGCGAAATGTCGACGAAGCTTTTACGAGGCTTCGCGTCTACGAATTCTGTTTCAACGTGGCTCGGCGATAAGTTTGACGAATTCTGCACGTGGTGCACACTGAATGGTGGATTTCCTCTCTGACCGCCGCCAAATCGGCGCGCCTCCATCGGCACTGCCTGTATTTGACTCAAGTCGACGCGCAAAACGACAAATGCTTGCCTTGCCTTCATTCACGCGCTTCGGAAACGCCAATCAGCTCTACTGCTGGACGGAAGCGCACTGCCAGCCAGAATACCCCCTGTCCTCCAATTGGCGGCCGAAATGGGAATCCCGAGGTGTCATCTGCCGCGCATGGCGGCACTTCTGTTCTCGTGACCGCAACTCGTGAGTCGTGACGTGTGGGGTTTTGCTTGTGAGAGCACGCTAAGCATATTCCCATCAACCAGGGCTGGGCTGGAAGGCTCATGTTGTATAGAACCACAGGATTAGTCTTCAATAAGCAATCCTCGCTTCGACTTCCGCGACATCACTCTAGCACTCTACGTTAACCTTCGTACCTTTGCCTTCTCTAGTTTCTCCGCTGTTCTGTGTTTGCTCGACGATCCACCTGACAGTTTGTATCGCATCGCGCCCTACATCAGAACTGGATCGCCTTCCTCTATTCCTCCATAGAACAGAGTCTTGTCACGGCGCGTTCGGAAAATGGCCACCGAAACTCTTTCCTTTTTTCCTGCCGCGGACCTTCCGAAGGTGGGAGCAGCCTCAGCCGCGTCAGCGTGCGGGTCAGGTGTTGGCATGGGTCCGCAGCGCAGATGCATCATACGAGACCGATGTGACAATAGCGATGTCTTGGCTTACATTAAAGCGCTAACCGGATCCATCGGCAGCAGTCGCCTTTTCGGACTGAACATGAGCTTCGAAGGGTTAAAGCCCAATCGCCCGACCATCGGCGACTGCTACCGCTTCGGACGAGAACTCGGGCGAGGCCACTTCGGCGTCGTGCGAACGTGTTTGGAGAAGACGACGGGAGAGCAGCTCGCATGCAAGACTATACTCAAGGACAAGATACAGGTATCGAATCATTCTTGCTCTAATCACGAGTACTTACTCTGTTTCTTACGTGTGGTTCGACTTCCCTCCGAGATTAAGTGATTAATGTTTTTTTTTTTTTTTTTTTTTTTTTTCCGCAGAAAGAAGAAGACCTGAGGGAGTTCGCGGCCGAGATGACGACAATGATTCGTCTGCACGGGACGCCCGGGTTGGTGCAGCTGCGGGAGATTTTCGACGACGACGCGGCGGTGCACATGGTGATGGAGCTCTGCCAAGGCGGAGACTACTTCGACCACATCGCGCGGAAGAAGCGACTCTCTGAAGGCGAAGCGGCTCATCTCTTCAGGTAGTGAGATCCGCACGCAAGACTTATGGTGCATGATTTCTAAGCCTCCAACTTTTACGTTTGGGCATCCGGGTTAAGGCTTTGATTAACGACATGAACTTATCGTGTTTTTTCCTGCAGGCAAGTGGTGGTGTCCGTCAACGCCATGCATGCTAAAGGCTTCGCCCATCGCGACCTAAAGCCGGAGAACATCCTTATCATGAAACCCGCGTCACACTCAAACGAGGACGTCGAGGCGAAGATCGCAGACTTCGGCCTGGCGATCGCCGTGACGGAGGGGAAGGGAATGAAAGGGATCGTCGGGAGTCCGTTTTACATGGCGCCTGAAGTTATCAAGGGTAAACCCTACGGCCTCGAAGTCGACGTGTGGAGCCTCGGAGTTATCCTCTACACCAGCCTTGCAGGTATGCCCGTCGACGATTTTCAAATTTGAAATTAAACAGTAACTATACTCTTGACATTTTCTCTTTATGCTTTTTATAAATATTATTATTAACGGGTTTCTCGTCCTTCATCTTGATTCTCTTCCAGGCGTCCTTCCGTTTTGGGGAAAGGGTCACCAAGCCGTCTTCACCGCCATCTGCCGCGCTCAGCCGGACTTCGACCGCAATCCCTGGCCGTTGATCTCCACCGAGGCGAAGCATCTCATCCGTCGCATGCTGACGCTCGACCCGACGAAACGGATACGAGCGTGCGACATCCTGGAGCATCCGTGGATGAAATCCGCCCACGCGAACGGGGCTCCGCGACGTCGCACCAGCCTTCTGCGAAAAGTGTTCGGCGACATATCAGTCCAGTGGCCAGCGAGCTTGATCCCGGGTATCTCCGGGCTTGGAAGTGTCACGCCTGCTCCACCTGCTGCTAGCCCTAACGCTCCTGGTACGAAACCCGACGACAACGACGGTAGCTCCGACCCAGGCCGCCCTACCCCTGACGCGGTTATTCCGCAAACGCCGCTGGCTAAGGTTGCTGCGTCGGGCAACGCCGCGGCGGAGATAAGTAAGGAAACGTCACCTCGCGACGAGAGCTCGTCGGAGCGACGAAAGACGGTTCCTGTGATGATTCCGGCTCCAGCGAACGGCGCAGCGGCCGTACGCGCGCTCAAGCCCGTTCTGAACATGTCGAGGGCGAACGGGGTCACGACAGCGGGTGTCGCGCGTTTCACGCAGAAGGTTCAATGCGTTGGTGCTGAGAATCATCCGCCAGAAGGGCAGGAGGGGGTTTCGGGTGAGTCACGTTCTTCGGCTCAGGTCTGCCCGGCTGGAGATATATTTGTTGGAAATAACGCAAATTGCGTTTTTCGCAGCAGTGATTCGAGCAGCAAGTGCAGCGACTCAACAATCTGCAGTAACGGAAGTGGCGAGATTGGCGAGTTTATCAGCAACGACAGTAACTCGAGTCAGCCTTCGCCCAGGGCCCTGCGTTCGCGAAGATCTGGAGCAACAAAACAGCGGGAAAATGGTCGCAGCAGCCATAACGGTCAGGACAACCGTCAGATCCCGAACCAGCACCAACTAGCTCACTCCATCGCGCACCCGTTCCCGGGCCTCTACGCTTGTCCCAACTCGCCTAGTTTCACCCCCTCGCCGTCCGCAGTCGCCGCCGCGAATGGCGGTCATCAGCTGGGACCCTTCGCCTCTGGCGCTGGATTCTGCTGGCCCGCAGGGTTTTTTAGTCCGCCGGGTAAAGCCCGCGGTTCCATGTGCCTGCCAGATCAGCAGTACCAGCAGCCATCGCCGGCGTCCCCGCGTTTCCCGCCGCAGATGGGATTCCCCGAGCTGCAGCCGCTGCCGCCGCCGCTCCACTCCGCCTTAGTTGCGGAGTCGTCGCCATCGTCGACGCTACCAGTGCCGATGCCGATTTCGTCGCACGGTTTCGTGACGCCTGTGTCTTCGCTGACCGACGCGGCGGACCCAGATCCGGCGCATCTGGTGTGGGTGTCTTCTATTTCAGACGGCGTCCCCGATTCCCCGTCCCAGACTTCCTCGGTCGCCACCCTCCCGTCCGTGCCTGAAGCGTCGGAAGCGCTGCCTGGCTTAGTCGACGCTGGTGCGGAGTCTGTCGCGTCGCTTTCAGTGCTGGAAGGCGACGAGCTTCTGGCTGCATGGGGTCAGCAGGATGCTGGCGCTGGCGCTGGCGCTGGTGCTGGTGCTGGTGCTGGTGCTGGTGCTGGTGCTGATGCTGCTTCTCACAGCGATGTCGTCGACGGATCGGCTGCAGATCCGGTGTCGGAAATGGCAGCAGATGCGATCTCGGACATGGCTGGAGATGCGATATCCGAGATGGGAACGGGAACGCTCGAAGACCTGCTGGCCGCCGCCCTAGCGTTTGACTGCCCGTCCAGCAGCTCGTCTAGTTCTCTCTCTTCCCCGTCCTCCTCCTCCTCCTCGTCTGAGTTCAGCCTGGGCAGCAGCGTGCTCTCGTGGTCTGGCTTCAACCCGCCCTCCGCGCTCGCTCCTGGTGTGGCTGCGGATGGTGCGGGCGCGCTCTGCGCGCTCCCCGCGCTCCCCTCCCCTGCGCCGCTGCCCGCTGCCCCCGCGTGGCCGCCCAACGGAGGGGTGGCGCCTCTGCGGCATGAGGTGTCCCTTGACCCGCAGGGGACGCCGGTAGTGGAGGACGCGAGTATGGGCAGTCCAAGTCCGCCTGCTGCTGGCTCTTTTGCCACTCCTGTTGCTGGTGCATCTTTCACCGCTGCCGCTAGTCCCCACGGTCGTAGCCCAGAGTCGGTTTTGGACGGGGTTGGAGCTTCGCCAGAGAGCCGTTTACCTGTTGTAGCAGGTATAGCTTCAACTGTTGCCGGTGTTTCTGCTGCTGCTGCTCTTCCTCCGCCTCCTCTTCCTTCTGCATCCCAGTGTCTGCCCATTCGTGGTGCTGCTTCTGCTGGCGCTGATGGTGCAGTAGCCAGGGGTGGAGAAGGGTGGAAGGTGCAGGCAGCTGGGTGTAACCCTGGTCCAGCGCGGTTTGCAGGGCCTCTAGGGCTTGGAGGGAGCTCTGCTGCTGGTGCGGTGGCTCTGGCCATCAGCAGGAAGCAGATGAGGTGAAGGGGCTATTGGGGGTGGAGTGAGCTGCTGGTTGGGAGAGGAAGACCACTGTTTGGGTGAGGAGTAGCTTGCATTGCAGCTCGCCTTTTGGAGGGTAGTTACTAGTAAGTAGCTAGGTTTAAGTTATTATGCCTGTAGCAGGAGGCAAGGAGAAGCAGTCAACAGGCCTCTGGATAGGATTAGAAGTACTCGTTCTCGTAAGGGTACTCGCTTGCTGCCACTTTTTCTGTAAGGGTATATTTTAAAGCTACTTTGTAATATAAAGGTCCTAAATATTAGTACTTTTTCAGAGAGTAGAAAAGTTGACTAGAATGAGGCATATAGCTTGATTTTGTTCAAGTGTTGTACCCTCTACTCTCAGAGCATGCACCTATCTAGCCTATTAACATATACAAATATGTTTGACACACCCCCTTCGCGAGATGAGGGGCAATGCCTAGAAATCGACACACAGCTCAAGGTGGCACTACTAGTCCAGCCTCAGAGGCAAGGGTTCGAAGACCAGTCAGCAAGAGTACAAGCTAAACTAGAGCAACACAGGGCGGTACTGTTAAAATATATTTTGTTATATAATTGGTAGGCTTGTCAAACATGTTTATCTACAATGTTTGTATAGACTGTATAGGGTCATCTCTTAGAGAGTACAACCCTTAGATATATGTCCTTGTACAATTCTTTCTAGTCAATCATTATTCAGTTTTCCTTTGAGATGGTATCACCCGTAGGTTGGTTCCCCTCCACCTACCGCTTCCGCCTGTGCCTCCTAGGCCCCGCCACCCCCCCCGTTCCTCCTAGGCCCCGTCGCGCCCCCCTGGGCCCCACCGCGCTGCCTAGGCCACGTCGCGCCCCCCTGGGCCCCATCGCGCTGCCTAGGCCCCGTCGCGCCCCCCCTGGGCCCCATCGCGCTGCCTAGGCCCCGTCGCGCCCCTCCTGGGCCCCTTCGTGCCCCGTAGGCCCCGTCGCGCCCCCCTGGGCCCCATCGTGCCTCCTAGGCCTCGTCGCGCCCCCCTGGGCTCCATCGCGCCTCCTAGGCCCCGTCGCGCCCCCCTGGGCCCCATCGCGCTGCCTAGGCCCCGTCGCGCCCCTCCTGGGCCCCCTTCGTGCCCCGTAGGTCCCGTCGCGCCCCCCCTGGGCCCCATCGTGCCTCCTAGACCCCGTCGCGTCCCACTGGGCCCCATCGCGCTGCCTGGGCCCCGTCGCGCCCCTCCTGGGCTCCTGTAGCGCTTCCTCGCCCGTCGCGCCCCCCCCCCCTGGGCCCCTGCAACGCCTTCTAGCCCGTCACGCCCCTCCTGGGCCCCTCGTGCCTCCTCGAGCCCGTCGCACCTGCCTGGCCCCGTTGTGCCTGCCTGGCCCCGTCGAGCCTGCCTGGCCCTCGCCGCGTTGCCTGGCCCCGTCGCGCCTGCCTGGCCCGGCCGTGTCTCCTGGCCCCGTCGCGCCTGCCTGGCACTGCCGCACCTGCCTGGCCCCGCCGTGCTACTTGGCACTGCCGCGCCTGCCTGGCCCCGTCGCGCCTGCCTGGCCCCGTCGCGCCTGCCTGGCCCCGCTGCGTCTCCTGGCCCCGCCGCGCTGCCTGGCCCCGTCGAGCTTGCCTGGCCCTGCCGCATCTGCCTGGCACTGCCGCGCCTGCCTGGCCCCGTCGCGCCTGCCTGGCCCCATCGCGCCTGCCTGGCCCCGTCGCGCCTGCCTGGCCCCGTCGCGCCTGCCTGGCCCCGCCGCGTCTCCTGGCCCCGCCGCGCTGCCTGGCCCCGTCGGGCCTGCCTGGCCCCATCTCGTCTCCTGGCCCCGCCGCGCTGCCGGGCCCCGTCGCGCCTGCCTGGCCCTGCCGCGCCTCCTGGCCCCGCCGCCCCTGCCTGGCCCCGCCGCGCATGCCCGGCCCTGCCGCCCCTCCTGGCTCTGCCGCACCTCCCGTGCCTCACCCGCCGTGCCTGACCGGCCGGCGCCACTTCGTACCTGCTCGCACGTGGTGGGGCGCCGTTTTGCGGCCGCCGTGTTGGAGGGCGCTGCCGTCCTGTTCCTGCGGAGCTGTGCCGCTGACCCTGCACGATGGCTGACTTCGTGCTCCGACTGGACGCCGAGGGCCACGCGGTTGACTTCGCCGCCTGGCTCTCTGACCTCCGCCGCCACCTTACAGGTCAGCGTCAGGATGGCCACTCTTTGGTTGTCCATGTCGATGGTTTGCTCCCCCGCCCCCCTGCGCCCGTTCCCCTCCCTGCTGACCCCTCCTCTGATGCCCGTGAGACCTTCTCTACTGCTGCACTTGCCTGTGCTGTCTGGGACTCCCGCGATGCGGTCGCTCATGTTGCTATTAGCCACGCCCTCCCTGTGTCTGAACGCTCGCGTTTTGCTACCATTGCGACGGCCAAAGCCTACTTAGACGCAGTCATTGCCCGCTATTCCACACCCGCGTCTGCCTCTGCTGGCCGCTTGCTTTTCCCGATGCTCTTCCCAGACCTTGCAGCCTTCCCTACCGTCGCAGACTTTGCCGCTCACCTGCGTGCCCTAGAGACCCGCTATCGCACTGCCAGCACTGCTGCACAGCTCACTGTGCTCCCCCCTCCTTTCCGCATGACGCTCTATTTCATCGCCATGCGCCTGCCGGACCGCCTCGCTAGTGCCCGCGATCACTTCCTTAGCCAGCACCCGGCTGACCTCACCCTCACTGCCTTTGTCGACACCCTCACCGAGATCGAGACTTGCCGGCGCACTATCGCTCAGTCGACCGGTGCGCCGGCAGTCTCTATCTTTCACGGCTGTACCCCCTCCCAGTGCACGTTCACTGACGTTTCGGTTGCGGTCGCCACGGTGCCCCCTCCCACCGAGACGGCTGCTGCGGTCCACCCGCAGCAGCGCTCGCGCCGCAGTGGCCATGGTCGCCAGGGAGGTCGGGGTGGTGGCGCAGGTGGTGGTGGTGGTGTTAGTGGTAGTGACGGTAGTCCGCCTGCTGGGACTACCACTAGTCGGCAGGAGCAGCAGCCCCCGCCGCAGCAGGAGCAGCCCGAGCCACCGCCGCCGTCCCAGCAGCAGCCGTTGCCCCAGCAGCAGCCGCCGCAGCAGTGGGCTCGTCTCCCGCCTGGTTGGCCTGGCACCGGTGGAGGTGGTGGCCGTGGTGGCGGCCCGCGCAGCTCGGCGTCTACCAGCGGCTCCGGTGCTGTGACCTGCCAGTACCAGCTTCAGACCAGGCCTCTTCGCAGCACTCTGTGTCGCCGCCCGCACCCGACTGCCCGCTTTTGCGCCGCCTTGACGATCTTTTTCGTCGTCGCTTTGGCCCGGCTCCGGACCTCCCTGACTGGCACAATGTCCTCCGCCAGGGTGTGCCGATCTTTGAGTTAGACATGGATCAGATAGGTGCTGCTTTGCATGCTTTGTATTCTGATGCTGCTAGTGTTGCTGGATCTTATTATCCTGTGTTCTCCAGCTTAGGTGTTGCACCCTTGTGTAGCATAGCTTCCCCTGCTGCGTCAGGCGTAGGACTGCCTAGTTTGCCTAGCCCAGTCTCTGCACCGGCCCCGTTCCTGGCCTCCGCCACTGCATCGCTGTCGTTCACTCTCGACTCTGGTGCTTCTGCCTGCTTCTTCCGCGACCGCTCCGCGCTCACGCCCCTTGCTACACCTGCTGTTGTCTCTCTCGCTGACCCCTCTGCGGGTCCTGTTGTTGCTCGCAGTTCTACGTCCCTTCCCTGTCCAGCAGTTCCCTCGGGCTCCCTTACAGGCCTCCACGTTCCCTCGTTCTCGAGGAACCTGGTTGGTGTCGGCTGTCTCCAGGACCTCGGCGTCACCACCACGTTCCCCGGGCACGAGCGGTTCGCTGTCTGTTCTGAGGCTGTCTCAGGTTCCCCTCTTGCGACGTTCCCCCGGGACCCGGTGTCCGGTCTGTTTACCCTCGACACCGCTTCCCCCCCGGTTGGTGCGTCCTCCCAGGTCGCTGCAGCTTGCTCGTATCGTTCCCTCACGTACCCGTCCCTTCTCTGGCACCACCGTTTAGGTCACCCTTCTCTCCCTCGTCTGCGTCACATGTCCCAGCACGGTCTTGTCTTAGGTCTCCCCGCGTCGCTCCTTGCCCTTCCTCCCTCGACTGCGCCACCGTGCACGCCTTGCATCGAGGGCCGCCTCCGCCGTGCTCCTCACTCCTCCTCGCTGCGCCCTGCGACTACCCCCCTCCAGACACTGCACCTGGACGTCTGGGGCCCTGCCCCCGTCCCCGGACCGCGCGGTGAGCGCTATTTCCTTGTGCTCGTCGATGATTACACGCGCTACACAACGGTGTTTCCCCTGGAGCGGAAGGCCAACGTGCCCGACGTTCTTCTACCGTGGGTTGTGGCTGCACGTCTTCGCTGCAGTCTCCTCGTGTTGTGTCTCCACTCTGACCGTGGCGGCGAGTTCGCCTCTGGTCGGCTTGGACAGTTCTGTCGTGCGGAGGGCATCACCCAGACGTACACCTTGCCGGACTCGCCACAGCAGAATGGGGTTGCTGAGCGCCGCATTGGCTTAGTCATGGAGGTTGCTCGTACCTCCATGATTCATGCTGATGCCCCCCATTTTCTGTGGCCGTTCGCTGTTCGCTACGCTGCTCACCAGCTTAACTTGTGGCCACGCTCTCAGCGGCCACAGGTTTCGCCGACCCTCCTCTGGACAGGGTCCCCTGGTGACGCGTCTGCGTTCCACGTCTGGGGCTGTCTTGCTCACGTTCGTGCCTTTGGCACGGACAAGCTCACTGCCCGCACGGTCCCCTGTGTCTTCCTTGGTTTCCCCCTCGACTCGTCTGACTGGCTGTTCTACCACCCGCAGTCTCACCGCTTCCTCCACTCTCGTGACGTCACCTTTGACGAGTCTGTCTCCTTCTACCGTCGCTTCCCTCACCGAGGTCTCCCGGTTGCCCCGCCCCTGTTCCTTGCTCCCTCTCCCCCGGTAGCCCCTGCGCCTCCCCCGCCTCGCCCTGCCCTGTCTGGTGTCTCTCACGTCACTCCCCTCCCGTCGGTTGTCCCCGTTGAGGAGTCCGCTGACTCTGGTGGTACACCTGGCCCGTCCGTGCCGTATCCCCCTCCCCCGGTTCCTTCGCCTCCACGGTCGCAGTCGCCCCCTCTGACGCAGCCGCTGCCGCTGTCGCCGCCGCCGCCGTCGTCGCTGCTGTTGCCGCCGCCGTCGTCGCTACCGTCGTCGCTGCCGCCGCCGCTCTTGGCCCCTGCGGCTGCTCGCGTGGAGGAGGGTGTTCGTCCTGCAGCTTCTGGGGGTGCCGCTGGTGTTGGAGGAGGTCCTCGCTCTGGGGGTTTGGTTCTGGGGGT